GCTCTTATTTGATGCTCCTTGAAAATGTTCTCGATACTATCGTTATCATTTGGTTCTAATTGGAAACATTCCCTAAAGCTTCGTTCTCTTTCTGTTCTTCTTGAGAACGTTTCGAAAGCTTTGTTCTTTACGGAAGCGTTCCTGAACTCACTCTGTTGCCTTTCAAGCTGCTCAGAACACTGTTGTGCCCGTTTGGCTCTGTTGTGGGAACGTTCTTGACAGTCCCTGATATTTTCTTGATATTGAACAGATTTCAATGGCCGCATCTGCATGCTATTTAAAAAAAATTAAATACAGAGAATATCTGAAATGGAACTTAATGCGAAATAAAAATATGTCTGGCAAATCATCCCAATCTCCCTTATCTTTTTAATTTGTCATTGCTTCCTTAGCTAAAAGGCTATTGTTATTGAAATTAAAATGTGTTAACATTTATTAAATTATTTGTTGTTGTTTGCATTCGCAGTGCACGCAATTTCAAATATGTAGCAAGGCATTAAAATCGAAGAATTGAAACGAACCCACATACAAACATAGATAGTAAATACATATGTCCGTGCAAATGTAGGTCCATGGATGCATATGTGGCAGCAAACATCAGTGGCAGCTGTCAAATTAAAATGCAACACAGTAAAGACATCCGCAGCAACAGAAACAACAGAAAAGGTAACAAAACTCTTTTGTAACTACAACTAGTAGGTACATGCAACAACAGCAGACAGCAACAACAGCAGACAGCAGCCGACAACCGCAGCAGCAATAAGTTGAAGGGAAGTTGGACATAACTTTTGTTGTACATAGGCTTCTCATGTCTCAGACGTCATCCATCCCCGACTTCCTATTCCTATTCACATGTACAAACACAAATATCGAATACGAATTTACAATTTAAAAACAGACATGTGTATGTATGTACGTATGCACAAAACATTTAATCGCATATATTGCTTTCTTCCTGATCCACTTAAGGTGACTCACAATGCACACGAAAACCGCAGAGACCGAAACAAAATGCAAAAGTAACCACAAAAACTACTCTTTATTGTTTACCTTACACTAGTCTTGTTGTTTGTTTTTATCGTTGTTGTTGGTTTACATCTAAAGAAAAATCTGCATAACTAAGACCTTGGTGACTTTTATTTGCATTTTGAGCTGGGATTACATATGGATGATTGTTGTTGGTCTTTATGCGTGAATGAAATGCATATGTAGGAGTATTTAGATGTCGTAAAACGATTGCCACTCTGCGTTGGGGTAAGCTCATGACATTTTAAATGGGCTGGTCCAGCGTGGGGCTTTCAACTTGTTGAGGCAGATATTGAGCTTAGCGCAAGAAAAGGAACAAAAAATTAAAGATGTCGCAACACCGAAATCGGTTTGTCTCTTAATCAAATTTGGCAAAGGATATTGGAAAATCGTGCCAAAATATCTAGAAGTCTATAGGTGGCATTTCAAATTGGTTTAGCCAGGATGAACTTGGAGTTTGCTCTTCTAAAACAGAGCTTGTCTCGTTTACCAGAAAAGCAAATGGCCCGAATTGTTTTTGACAATCCCGCCTTGTTTTATGTATTTTAAGTTGTCATCATAGGTAGTCTTATAAGTTTGACGATATGTTTCCCTAGTTATACCGTGCGACAAAAAAAAAAAATCAAAACACACGAAAGAATCGATATAATCACGAAACTGTGGGCCAAATATAGTAAAACTGCGTTTTTAGTTTTTCACTCTGACGTCAGGATAATTTTTCAAAGGACTTTGAAATTTTAAAATATGATTACATAGTTCAAAAAATTATTTAAAAAAATCAGTGCAATGTAGAATAGCTATATGGGTAACAAATGAGAGAGAAAATTCTGTAGAATTTAAAAACAATGAAGTTTTGTGGTTTACAAGGGAGAGTAGGTATTGAAAATGCGCTTTAATAAATTTTATCTTTTTAAGTTAATAAAATTTGCTGGACAAAATTCTATGATGAGGTCATGCGTATATTAGTCGTCAAACAATTATTTTTCAAAACAAAAAAAATCAAAAATATTGCAAATTTTCAGTGATATTTAAGGACAAAATTTTTAAAGGACATTTTCCATACCCATTAGTCCAAAAAAATGTATTCTGTTATATATTTTTTCTTTTATATGATACCCGCATTGTTGTACATTGCACTGAATTTCTTAAATATTTTTTTTTTTAAATCACATTTCTTAAATTTCAGTTATTAAAAAAAAAATCCTGACATCAGAGAGAAGAATTAAGTACAGCAGTTTTACTATAATTTGCTTACACTGCCGGCAAAAAGTATTGGCACAGAAAATTCTTCACAATATGGACAACAATTTTGTTTTTTATACCCGAGCGCACTTTTGCACAAGGGTATATTAATTTTGTTCACATAACGGTTGTTTGTAACAGCCAAAACGAATCGAGATAGATATAGACAAATGTATGCATAAATGATCAGGATGAAAAAAGAAATTGATTAAGCCATGTCTGTCTGTCCGTCCGTCCGTCCGTCTGTCCGTCCGTCCGTGTACACGATAACTCGAGCAAAAATTGAGATATCTCAACGAAATTTGGTATGTAGGTTTCCATTAATCCAAGGTAGGTTGGTATTGAAAATGGGCGAAATCGGACCCTAACCACGCCCACTTCCCATATAACGGTAATTTCCAGAAATACGAAAACTGCGATATTTTAGTAACTACTGAAGATAATTCACTCAAAATTGATATTTACAATAATTTTTAGACGAAAAATAAGAATATTATAAATTTTTGGAAAATGGGCGTAGCCACGCCCACTTATGGTTACATGTGTATATCTTGGTAACCGCTACACCAATTTCTTCCAAACTTGGCACAGTTGTTGGCCTTCGCACAACATACCAAATGACGGAAAATTTTTAAAATCGCTCAATAGCTACGCCTACTTCCCATATAACGGTAATTTTCAGAAATACGAAAACTGCGATATTTTAGTAACTACTGGAGATTATTCACTCAAAATTGATATTTATAATAAGTTTTAGACGAAAAATAAGAATATTATGAATTTTTGGAAAATGGGCGTAGCCACGCCCACTTATGGTTACATGTGTATATCTTGGTAACCGCTACACCAATTTCTTCCAAACTTGGCACAGTTGTTGGCCTTCGCACAACATACCAAATGGCCTAAAATTTTTAAAGTCGCTCAATAACCACGCCTACTTCCCATATAACGGTAATTTAGAGAAATAGAAAATCTTCGATAAATCAGTAAATATTGAAGCTAATTTATTCAAAATTGATGCTTGCAACAATTCTTTACCAAGAAATACGATTATGGTAAAACTTTGGAAAATGGGCGTGGCACCGCCCACTTATGATCTCATATAAGTATATCAGTAACCGTTCTACCAATTTGTACCAAACTCGGTGTGGTTATTGTACTTGCCACGTGTAAGCAAAACGTTGAAAATTATTGAAATCGGACTAAAATAACGGCCGATTCTCATATAACGGTAAATTTAAGAAATGCTGGAAACTTCAATATTTCGAAATTGAACGACGCTAATTTACTCAAAATTGATACACCCCGGCTTACCATCTAGCGGAAGGTTTCGGAAAGGTGAAAAAACATATATTTAATACTTGCGCCGGGTATTTAATGTTCGGCTTCGCCCGAACTTAGACTTTCTTACTTGTTTTTTTCTAATATTTTTCCACCAATTTTTCATAAAAATATGGTTTATTCTACAACAAAAAACATAAAAATATAATTCCTAAACTTTGTGCAAAACTCACGAAAATTCAGCAAATTTACAATTCAGATTTTTTAGATTTTTTTTTTTTGAGTATGCAGATTTGTAGCCCATCAAATTTCTTATAATAAAGTACAAGTTTTAAGTAGCTAGGAATTACCGTTGATTTTTGGCAATTTTTTTCACGCAGTCTCTTCCATATACAATTTTTTTTTGGAAAGTATGGAAAAAATGCAAAAAACCTTCAACAAAAAAAAATCTCAAAAACCAATGCGATTTTTTACTATCTGCAAAACTGCATACTCAAAAAAATTCTTAAAAATCTGATTATAAAGTTGAAAATTTGCATGAAAATTTCCTGCATTTTAGGGAGTTTTCCACAAAGTTAAGGAATTATATTTTATGTTTTTTGTTGTAGAATGAACCATATTTTTATAAAAAAAAAAATCACGGAAAAAAATTGTTGCCCATATTGTGAAGAATTTTCTATGCCAATACTTTTTCCGGCAGTGTATAGTTTCGCGAAAAAATAAATTGTTTTTTGTGTAAAATTTACTGTCGCTCGGTGCTAGCAGCTCCAACGTACAGAATCTATACCAATAACTCGAGGTTGGAAAAAGGAGCTGGTGGGGGTATCTGTTCGGCAGAGATGCATATTAGGCAACCATGTCATCAAAGGTAATCTAAAAAAGGATCAGAAGTAATGAGGGCGATTATTTGCTTTCTTATTCCAGCTTTCTTGAGTATGACCAGCGTCACTTTCTGGCTTGTCGAAAAAAACACTGAAGAGAAGGAAATTCTTATGTAGCTAATGCCATGGCCAGACAAAGCTCGAAGATTCAAGACAGCGAAGTATTTATCTCTATACAATAACCGATTTTTGGTTTGCCGGTAAACGATAATTAATATAAGAGGCTTTAGAGGCAGTTTCTACTTTTTAGTTAGTCAATGAAATCAAAAACCATTTGAGAATCAACAGAGAAACCGCTTAACATTTCGATTTTCAGGATATTATATAAATTTCGTGGCACTCAGCGGAGTGCAAGACATAAATACAAAAAAAAAAAACAAAAAAAAAATCAATTGGTCACAGATATTATCCCATTGGCCACTACTTAAATATATAAATTTGCTGTTAGCAAGCTTTTATACGTTTTACAATTATTTACCACTGACTATCCTTACTCAATCTATATATGTATGTACAAATTTATATATGTATGTAAGTTAAATCATTCTGTAAACGTTTTTCAGTACTCACTTAAATCCTTTGTCGTCATCAATGCCATTGACCACGCCATTCGTATTTGCAACTTGGTCATCTTTCTTTAGGCCGTTTGTGTCAAACGGAGAATTGGCCTTTTCTTTGTCATCGTGTGACTGCAAAAAAAACAAGAAAAAAATAATGAGTAAATGCAGGCATGAGTTGAAAATACTATGGAGAAGAAATAAATATTAAGGTACCTAATTTAACCCTAGAGTACTAACCATATTTTATATACGTTAGTACTAATGATCGTCGATTCGACGAAGTATTGTGAAAACCTTGTTGTTTTACATATAAAAGGAAACTAAATGTTATACATGTTATTGATGTGATGAATGTTTATTTCGTATATACTTTACATACGCTTATATTTTATGTATGATATGTAAGCGTTTCAGAAAAGGACTAAATTTTCTCTGGGACTTCACAAACGAAAGAATATAAGGCAAAAAGTAACTAAATATATTCGTACACGGTAGTGTAGAAGAATTTTTAATCCCACATGAAAACCATCCGCAATATTGTTGCAGTATAGCAAATGTCGACTTTTCAGTATCTAATCAACTTCGATCAAAACCAAAATCGTATCTCGGTAACTTTTTGAGAAAACTGTGATTACATATATTACACTCTCCAGAAAAAAATTTAAGTGCCTCTTTTTTTGACGATCTTGGCTGTTTAGCTTCCATTATGGCTAAAAACTATCTTCTGAAAATTGGGTGCAAAAATATTAACATTTGTTTGTGCTTCCGCCCCAAATGGTTAAAATTACATACTCTTCTTTCTATCCGTACAATATGTTTTCAAGGTCGCTGAACATCGTGGGCGAGACAATTTAAGGGTCAGATCTTACATTTTGAGATATTACAAAAAAAAAACTTTAAAAAAAATCTTTAAAAAAAATCTTTAAAAAAAAATCTAGCAAAAAACCCAAAAATCGCGCTTTAAAAGCTAAATATTTATTGGAAACGAATTTTGCAATTTTTTATCATTAGTAATATTTATAGCCACAATTTTGACAAACAAAAGTAGTAATCGCAGATAATACTACGTTCATTTTATTTGGAGATACATACTGCGAAAAAATCTTTAAAAAAGAGGAAAAAATTAAAATTGCGCTTTAAAAGTTGATTATTTCTTAAAAAAAGTTTTTGCAATTTTTTCACACTACTACTTCTGTTTATAATCACATCATTGCAAATAAAATGAGCCGTCGCAGAGAATATTGTGTTCATTACTACTCAACGATATCGGTAAATTACTGAAGCAGTACCTGGATTCGTGGCCGTTGTTAAGAGATTTTCCTTTTTGCTACAACGAAAAAACTGAACGGATACCATTAATTTCGATCCCTGAGAGCTCAGTGCTTCCATCTTATCATCGCGAAGGTTGGACAGTCTAAGAGAAAGCGTGGAGATGATTCCAACTCATCTTACTCTTGACAGCTGATACAAAGGTATCAGTTGAAATTCCTAGTCTTACCGCGTGAATACCAATCGCACAATGGCCTGTCAGACTGAACCCCCATCACCAGCCCTTGAGAGGTAACGTGTTTTACGGCATATTTAAGTGGTGACGATGGGTCGCTCGTGTTTTGCGCTGCAAAAATATTTTAAAGAGCCCTAAAAAACATTTACTGCATAAGAGAAACATCTTCTTTTCCTATTTTACGTCACAAAAGGAGCATCGCTTTCTTTTGTCCATTTTATTAAGTACTTAGTAGAGTATGCGCTCGCCGAGCTAACACTAGGTCCAACCATCCAAGAGTGTACCGCAGGAGGGCAGAAGAATCCTTAGTTATTTCTTATCTAGGGATATCGTTTTAGGGGTGCCTGTCCAATGCCAGGTCATTAGGCACGCAGTTTCGCGCGATGTCACTGTGACCCAGCACCTAAACTAGCTTCATTAAGAAGTACCTACTCCCACGCGATTGATAAAGAGTTCAGACATCCCTTTACCTATTTCGAGCAATGTTCTTACACTAAGGCTATGAATAGCAGTCTCAGTGGATTTGCCTGCTTGATAGAATTGGTTCTTATTCTGTGGTCGTTCCGTTTGGCTTGACTTCCCTGATGTGTTGATCCAAGATTTTCTGCATGCCTTTTAGGAGAAAGGAGCTGAGGATAATTGGTGTGAAGGAAGAATGCATCTGCTCAAGTTTAACTTCAGTAAAAATACGACCTTAGCCTATGTTCATCTACTGGGAATATGGCACTACGCTCTGTAGTCTGGAGAGGACTGGGGCTATATACATACTTATTGGGTGTTGGGACACCCAATTCTGGTAGATAATAGCAGAAGTCTGCAAGTCTCACTCGGATGCTGAGTACAGTACGTTCTCGCGGTAGATAAAACTATTATGTTTATGGATAAGTTTTCCTAACTAAGATCTGCCTTAAAGTAGTTTGCTCAATCACATTTATCTAACGAGTTCCCTTCTGGTTCTGAGCACATTATTTCGACAGCGTTTATGTTCTTTAGTGCCAGGAATAGGGATAGGACGATACTACTCGTAAGTACGATAATACTTATCGATACTTTTTGTTCCTCTCCGAGTATTTTTGGCATCGACGCTTTTAACGAAATGTTCGAGTAAAAATATCGATACTGTACCTCGATACCGCAATATTTGTAGTAGTTTTTACCTTTGTTAGTTTATATGTATTTTTGCTATCTCTAGCAAGTTTAAGTTCAAGTGTCAAATGTCAAATGCAACAACGCGGAAGGTTAAGTGTCAAGTGTCTGCCAAAATGAGATGGGTTGCCTTTACATTTGATATTGCCACATGTTAAACAAACATGGTCGGTATTACCATGTTTAAAAAAAAAAGAAAAGAGCGGGTAAATTTATATATTGGAAATTGGTTGAAACGAACCTTTAAACCTTTATGAAAAGTAGTTCGGTTTTCGCTTCGGATGAAACACTTGCGGAAAATTTCGGTTCGGTTCATGTTTCAGTTATTTAATAGAAAAAAGCGGTTTGCCGGTTCAAAATCGGTTCAGTCCCTCCTTAAAAGTGCATGGAATCAAATTATAACCATAAATATATAATCTTAATCACGATTAACATTATTTTCATTCAAAATGTGGTTCTTCTAAGAAAGGCTTGTCAGAAAGGGAAACATCGAGTTTGCCATTAATATTTATTTATATTTATATCTATTTATTTGATCGCTATCTTGTATTTAATTCTTATTCTCTACATATACTAATTAAGGTGTACGTTTACTTTATTTGAACTTAAATAAGAAAAACTAAAAGGATACATACATTGTATTAATCGAATCGATTCGTTGATAATACGAAATCGATGATTCATCAGAAAGGGAAACGACTACAAGAATCGATTCTTTGAGGTATCGTCTCAACTAGGAATGTTAATTCCGGTATCCCGGACTTTTTAAGGTCTCGAAAATCGCGGGATTCTTAGCAAATAATCCCGGGATTTTCGGGATTTGTAATTCGGACTGATGGCAATAATAGAAACCTCTTTTTCTTGACCAGTATTGGCTATATTTCTTTTTTTATTTAATAATTCAATAATTTTTTAGTTTTTCACTCTGACGTCAGTAATTCAAAAATGATTTAAAAAATTCATAAAAACGTTCTTAGAGAAGAATACCCATACTTATTACTTAAAATTATATGACGAAATCCTGTAGAATTTAAACAGATTCAAGTTTCTGGTGCAGAAGGGCTGGTAAATATTGAAAATGTCATTTTAAATGTTAATCCTGGAAATTTTGCAATATAAACTCGATATTATCGTCGAATTTCGTTCTTCTAACTATGTCAGCTTAAAAATTACCTATTCGTCCTTGTGAATCAAAAAAATTTAAATTCTTTAAATTCTAAAGAAATTTCCTAATGCATTTGTTACCCATATTTTTATTCTACATTGCATTGAATTTTTTTTAACAATTTTTGGAATTAATCATATCTCTGAAATCACAAATTCCTTCAACCTAAATCGTGCGGTCAGAGAAAAAAAAAACGCCTCTTTAAATAAATAAGTAGGTTACAAACCCATTCATTTATTATTTATTTTATCGTAGGAGAGCTTCTCAAACAATATAGAAGATTTTTTTCGATTCAAGTTGTTGAAAAGTAACGAATATCTAAATTCCTGGACTAATCCCGGGATTGCGACAACGCCATCCCGGAAATCCCGGGATCGGAAAAAGCCGAAAAAATTAACATCCCTAGTCCCAACCCTAGTCAGTAGCCCTTACACTCCAAATCTTCACAAGGTTGACCTGTGTTAGCGCTAGAGACATTTTCTTTACTAAGCTTGCTTTGGTTATTTTTCTATAAAAACATAGCTCCTCCTTTAAGAAAACCCGTGGAAATCAAAAGGTTCAAACTTTGTGTATTATTAAAAAAAAAAACTTGCAAGCTTTTTAAATTAAATTTCCTACCAGAGTCAAATGGGCTACAAAACTGCAGACTATTTCTAGGAAGTCTAATTAAAATATGTAGCTCGAAATTTTTTCGAATGTTTGTTGGATTTTTTTTTTTAATATTGCACAAACTTTCAAACTTGGATCTACACGGGTTTTGTTAAACCTATGAATGAACTATTATGAATCGCATCATCGAGGTGTCGCTTGTCTATGCCAAGACTAGGAGCGCACCCATTAAGCCGCTCACCATTCCCCGAATCGAGCTACAAGCACCTGTGTTAGGAACTCGCATGATGACTACTATAATAAGTGAACATAGCGTTCGAGCCAACCGATGTGTTATGTGGAGCGATTCCAAAACGGTTCTTAAGTGGTTATTTAATAAACACCGCCGCTATAAACCGTTCGTGGCTCACAGGATAGCTGAAATTCTCGACGTCACTAAGCCGTCCGATTGGAGATGGGTTCCGACGAACCAAAACGTGGCTGACGAGGCAACGCGACCCAACAAGGCAATAAATCTCAGTCCTTCGTCCCGCTGGTTCACTGGCCCTGAGTTTCTGTACAACAACGAGCAACTCTGGCCAAAGGACGCTGACGTCGCTGATGAAGTTGAAGATGACGAGGAAGAGATTCGCACAAAATTTGCCTTCATTGTCGTGAGTAGTAATGTTCTAAACTTTAATAGATTTTCTTCGTTTACCAGATTAA